TCGCCAGTGGTGAGTATACGCTGACGTTCCCAGTGGCTGTGTTGTGTTTTAAAGCTCTGATGGCTCTGCAGGGACTCATCGAGCAGATCTCCTGCCAAGCTCCCGTGGCCACAGCTCCTCTGTTCCCTCAGCAGGGTTCTCCTGCACCCCTAATCCCTGTCCTCTCTTCCTCCTTTCCAGTTCCCCATCACAGCCTTGCGGGAGATTAAAATCCTCCAGCTGCTGAAACATGAGAACGTGGTGAACCTCATAGAAATCTGCAGGACTGCAGGGACTCATCGAGCAGATCTCCTGCCAAGCTCCCGTGGCCACAGCTCCTCTGTTCCCTCAGCAGGGTTCTCCTGCACCCCTAATCCCTGTCCTCTCTTCCTCCTTTCCAGTTCCCCATCACAGCCTTGCGGGAGATTAAAATCCTCCAGCTGCTGAAACATGAGAACGTGGTGAACCTCATAGAAATCTGCAGGACCAAAGGTAGTGTGGGGGCCTCTCCTCCTGCTGGCCCTTGGCTCTTTTCAGCCTCCTTCACTACTGGTGGTGTGTACCAGGAGTGGGGTCCTCAGCTCAGCGTGGGCCTCTGTTCCTGCCTGTGACGTGGGGTGGTGGTCCCCTCATCTTAGAAACAGAAAGAGATTAGAAGAACTGAGATTGGAAATCTGAAACCAGCCATTTCAGTTAAATAGAAACGAAAGTGGCAGGTACCCAGTGATGATGTTTTTTAAGTAAGTCCAGTCACTGAGCTGGTCAAAATCTCTGGCCTGGAACCAGGAACTTGAGGTTACTCCAGTACTCTGCTGTGTGTAGATTATTGTCTGAACAGGTAGGAGTAGAAACACCAATGACAAGTTAATTTTTAATTCATTGTTTGATTAAATGAGTTGTGATGATTGCATGGCTGGCACACCGAAGGTAAATATTTTTGTAGACATGTCAATTTTGTTCTGTTTGAATTCTAGTTTTCCTCCAAATCTACTTTGACCTTAGTTTCCAGTGAAGTAGAAATGGGGCATTTGCTATTCTCAGACTTTAAGCTTTTCTCTTTTTACATTATGAGGTGCAGGAGGGGCTGTATCTGTGCAGGGAACTGCAGCCCTGGCCTAGCAGGCACCCTCCTGGCTGGCAGAGGAGAGCTTCCATGGGGCTCAGCTGTTATTGTCTGGCTGGAGCTGCTGATCAGCAGGTTTCACTGATTACAGCTGATGAAAATCAGCCTTTCTTTTTAATAATGTTCTGCATGTGTGCTCTAGGAACAAGATTGAGATCGATTGCTTCATTTGAGGTTTCCTGTTATTGACTTGGAATGGCCGCTGGAGTTTTAAATCACTCTGATCCAGGTCAGGCCGTTTCCATAGGTGCTGTTTGAGGTTGCAGAAAGCCTCACTTTCCAATGTTAGATGAGGCAGGGGTTCCCTATTTCTGCATTGTTCCTGGGGCTGTCTCTGCGGGCGCCTCCTCTATCGCGGATGCCATCAGTGATAGCTGGGCTGGCAGCGAGCGGTGCGTGCACCTACCAGCCAGAGCTTGCAGGAGGAAACCCCACGGCTGTAACATGCACTGAACAACCCAAAATGAAGCTTTCGAAGATTTCTATGCCCTTTCCTTTCCTGTCTGATGACATTGAGTACTTGGATCCTCACCCGCTGTTCCTCCGCTGCCAGCTGTGCTGTCTCAGTGCCTCTCCATGGAGGCTCTCGAGGCCCGTGGGCTGTTTTGGGTTCTGTGTGTTCCTGTGCCCAGAGGTTTTGTCCAGTGAGCGCCGTGTGAGCAGCAGGTGGCTGGGAGTCGGGAGGAGAGGTGGGGGGTTGAGGGTCCCTTGCTGACGGCCCCTCCTTGCCTCTCCTGTAGCCTCTCCGTACAACCGCTGCAAGGGCAGCATCTACCTCGTGTTTGACTTCTGTGAGCACGACCTGGCTGGGCTCCTCAGCAACGCTCACGTCAAGTTCACGCTCTCGGAGATCAAGAAGGTCATGCAGATGCTCTTGAACGGACTTTACTACATCCACAGGAACAAGGTAACGGGCCGGATCCACTCTGTGCCCTGCGCTCACCTTGCTCTCTGTGGCTTTCCGAGGAGTGAGTGTCCTGGTGCAGGCTGGAGGGAAGCCCTCTCTTGTCCCCCTCTGGGGTCTGAGTGCCCTGCTGGCACCAAGGAGGGTTCGGTGGCTTCACCTTTGGCTGCCTGTCCTCGCACAGATCCTGCATCGCGACATGAAAGCCGCCAACGTCCTCATCACGCGGGACGGGGTCCTGAAGCTGGCGGACTTCGGGCTGGCCCGAGCCTTCAGCCTGGCCAAGAACAGCCAGCCCAACCGCTACACCAACCGGGTGGTGACGCTGTGGTACCGGCCGCCAGAGCTGCTCCTAGGTAGGAGGCGAGGGGCTCCGCCGGCTTCTCTGCCCTGCTCCTGGCCCCGGGAGACTAACGCGGCATCTCCGTTTAGGGGAGCGGGACTACGGTCCCCCCATTGACCTCTGGGGCGCAGGCTGCATCATGGCAGAGATGTGGACCCGCAGCCCCATCATGCAGGGGAACACGGAGCAGCACCAGCTCACCCTCATCAGCCAGCTCTGCGGATCCATCACGCCCGAGGTGAGGGGGCAGAGGGGGTGGTGCGGGCAGGGCCTCTCCCTGCCCTGTGTGCTGGCAGCTGCCTGTTCCTGGCACGGGAGCGTTCCTGCTGCGGGGGGAGGCTGGGGAAGCTCCTGCAAATGCTGTTTACCTCCTGAGAGCCAAGTGTGCAGTGGGGCGCTGTGCTTTCCTTGCTGCTCTGTGTGTTCTGGTGCTCAGCCTGCGGAGAAGAGGATGAACTTGGTGTTATTTGGGAGGGGTGAATTGTGTCCTTGGTTTTGAGCAGAGGGAGAACGCTGGCTGCTGTGAGCATGAAAAAATGGGACATTATGTGTAGGAATCTTCTAGCCTGTGTTTGGGGGTTGTCTCTCAGATGAACACCCTCTGAATTTCTGCTTAAAGATGATTTCTTGATTTTGTACTGAGTGGCTTGTCTCTTGTGCTTTGCACTGGTCACCTTGAAAAACGACTTTAATTTTGGCTTCTGATTTGTCACCTGGTAAGGAACGGGCAGAAAGCAACAGCTCAGGATGTAAAGCTCAGGGGGAGATGGCTGGTGGAATGTCAGGACTGGCTTCAGAGGCCTGAGGCCTCTGCTGCTTACATTGTGTGCATCCACTGAAGGTGCTTTCTTTTGTCTGTGAATACCTGCTGTGGTCTCATGCAGAATCAGGGTTGAAGTAAGTGCTGGTGGTTGCAGCCTTGCAAGGATGGAGCGTGCCCCAAACATCCAGGTTATTTAGCAGTAGGTTTTTCTGTGAATACCTGCTGTGGTCTCACGCAGAATCAGGGTTGAAATAAGTGCTGGTGGTTGCAGCTTTGCAAGGATGGAGCGTGCCCTAAACATCCAGGTTATTTAGCAGTAGGTTTTGTCACTTTACCGTTCTGGATGCTGCAGCTGGCCTGAGCCATACTCTTTAGTAGCTCTTTTGTGGCAGAACCAGAAATCCTGGAGCATCTTGCATGCTGTTCCCACACCAGAACGACTCTGTCTGGACTTGTCTGCGTGTCTCCAGGATTTAGTGCACCCTTTAGTGCCTCCTTGTGCTGTGGGAACAAGGTCTGCTGGCCTGGAAGTTATAAAATGGTGTTGTTCTCTCAGCAGACCTGCCCTGGTTTGCCTGAGGGCGTTCGCATCGTCATCATTTCCTCTCAACCTCCCTCTCCTGCCCCTTCCCAGGTTTGGCCCAACGTGGACAAATACGAGCTGTTCCAGAAGCTGGATCTCCCCAAGGGGCAGAAGCGGAAGGTGAAGGACCGCCTCAAGGCCTACGTGAAGGACCCCTACGCACTCGACCTCATCGACAAGCTGCTGGTGCTGGACCCCGCCCAGCGCATCGACAGCGACGACGCGCTCAACCACGACTTCTTCTGGTCGGACCCCATGCCCTCGGACCTCAAAAACATGCTGTCCACTCACAACCAGTCCATGTTCGAGTACCTGGCCCCGCCGCGCAGGAGGGGCGGGCACATGCCCCAGCAGCCAGCTAACCAAGGCAGGAACCCGGCCGCCACCAACCAGACGGAATTCGACAGGGTGTTCTGAGCGGGAGCTTCCCCAGCGGGGCCTTTTCACCTGGGAGGGGACTTGCCTCCAGGTGAAGTCCCTGCTGGCTTTCCCCGAGCTCTGCTGTCGCCTCGTGCAGCAGCGCAGCCGCTGCGGAGCTGTGTGACCAGGGAGGTGACACCTGTGTTAAAGACGTTTCTTTACCGTAGGTTTCCTGTAGCAGAATCTCAGGCGTCGAATCTCATGAAATTAAGTAATTTCTTAGAAAGTTACAGCAGCAGGGTCAGCTTGACCCAAGTGCCACTGGAGAGGGACCCCAAACAATTAATACCCTTACAACTTAAGTTGCCCTGCCCTCGAGCAACAGTTTGGTCCAGTAGTAATATTTGGGTCTGGGGTTTTCTTGCTCCTCTTTGGATCCTCTTTTTGTCTCCAGGCAGGCTATTACCCTCCTGTCTGGAGGATGCAGCTTCTGCTGATAAGTGTGGCTACCTTTTCTTCACAGGATGCAGCTTCAGCCGATGGATGTGGTTACTGTATTTTTCACAGAATGCAGCTTCTGCTAACAGATGTGGTTACCTTATTTTTCACAGGTCTTGGGGCCTCCCTTCACATAACTAAGTCTAACTTCAGCCTAAGTTCACCACTTGTGGCCTAAGGCTTTAGCAAGTCTTTCTATTAACACCTTACAGTGGATTTGAGCTCCTACAGCAGCCTGTGATCCCAGGGGGTTTCCCTGCAGCTCTGCCACAGAGCTCATGTTCCTCTGCAACAGTCTCTGTTGGTGACACATTAATCTTGTGGACCAGTGATGGAGAAAGCATCTCTGTCCATGCTGCTCAGCATGTCAGCTAACACTGCTGTGACCAGCAGGACTGGGAGTAGCTGCCCTGGACCAAACTGGGTCTTGCTGGGAGGTGTCTCAGTTGGCCGTAGCTCCTGCGTGGCGTATCCTTTGAACACTGAACCGTTCATGTAGGACGAGGCAGGTGCTTCTGAGTAATGCAGGAGTGTCCTGGGGAAGGCAGAGTCTCTCAAGACTGCATGACTAACTTGCTGGAGTTTGGGCTCTCGCCTAGAATGGGGCTTACTGGGCGAACCAGAGGGGTGGCTGGCAGAGCTGGTTGCTCCGTGCAGCCCGGGTTTACAGTGGGAAGCGTTGGTCTTGTGTAAGAGCACGCAGCATCCACGCTTTCTGCATTGCAAAGTGCAGCTGGGAGTCAGCCCGCTGTGTGCCTCCCCACAGCAGGAGCTTCAGCGGGGCAGGGAGTCGCAAGTGGGGCGAGACCTGCTGCCTGCAGGGATTTCAGGGTGGTGTGTCAGTGCTGGGACGCTGCTGGGAGCAGGGTGATGCTTTTAACCCTCACGTGTTCGCTCCTCCATCCTGGAGCTCTTGGCATGAGTCTAGAGCAAGACCGCTGCCTTCCCCGGGTGCGGCGACCAGCCCCATGCTGATGGTCTGTGCAGAGCTCGTGGGGCTGACTGGTACCGAGCGAGGGCCCCTTCCCAGCCTGCTCACCCAAATCCGTCTTCCGTGGCTGTCAGCTGCAGTTGGCTGTCTTCAGGCCCCATGGATCCCAAGGCTTTAACAAATAAGTGTCCGTGCAGCGGGTGATAACCTTTGGCTGGTGACAGGTTGTCCGTTAACTAACGGCCAAAGCCACGGCGGTGGCATAAGGTCCCGGGAGGAAGCGGTGGCGAGCGGGGCCCTTCTCAGGACAGAAAGTCAGCATGATAAAAGATATATACAAGGTAAATCTTGTGCGGTGGGGCTCTGAAACAGGGTCTGGTTGGGAAGGTGGAACTTGGGTTTCCTTGGAAAAAAATGGAAATTTGTTGCAAGCAATAAGTGGGACAGCTTCTGCGGCTTGTGAATAAACGTGATGAAAGGGCTGGTTTTAACCTCGCCTCGCTGTTTGT